CATCTCTTTACAAAGTCCATGGATAGAAAACTATTAACGTTTAATATTCCTTAAAATACTCTGTAAGCAACTGCCAACTTGGTCAAAAAAACACAATTAAATCTGTACGAAGATATTATATATTTCCGTGAAAAATGCAAAAATACACGTAATACACAACCAACTTCAATATTTTATATATATATATATATAATTAGCGTTAAAAATTCACTTCAAGAAGAAGAATAAATAATAAAATGTAAAACCATAGTCTCTTTTTAAAAACCAGTTTATTAACCGGTTTTTGTAGCTTTACTTGTTATTGTTCAGTAAGTTTTTTCTTCAGGGATAAAATTTGGTTTAACACACGTGTGATATTAAAAGAGTAATCAATGAAATCAGTAAATAAACAAAACCTATAGCTACAAAACCTGTAAATAAACAAAAACTATAGCTACGAAACCTGCAAATAAACAAAAACTACAGCTACGAAACCTACAAATAAACAAAAACTACAGCTACGAAACCTACAAATAAACAAAAACTATAGCTACAAAACCTGCAAATAAACAAAAACTATAGCTACGAAACCTACAAATAAACAAAAACTATAGCTACAAAACCTGCAAATAAACAAAAACTATAGCTACGAAACCTACAAATAAACAAAAATTATAGCTACGAAACCTGTAAACAAACAAAATCTATAGCTACGAAAATGGTAATTTCTTTGTTTGTTTTGATTATCGCTCAAAGCTTCTCCAGAGTTTATCTTCACTAGTCGTCCTTGATTTTGAAGTGATAGCTAAAGGATTTGGTTTGTTTGAAATTTCACGCAAAGCTACACGAGAGCTATCTGCGCTAGCCGTCCCTAAAGTAGCAGTGAAAGAATAGAGAGAAGGCAGCTAGTCATCACTATCCACCGCCAACTCTTGGGCTACTCTTTTTACCAACGAATAGTGGGATTGAGCGTCACATTATAACGCTCCCACAGCTGAAAAGGCGAGCATGTTTGGTGGAACGGGGATTCGAACCCGCAGATTGCTAGCCGAGCACCATAACCACCTGGCCATGCCAGGCCAGTTAGAGGAAAGGTAACTAGTCAACACCACCCACCGACAACTTTTTGGCTACGTTTTACCAACGAACAGTGGGATTTAGTATCACATTATAATGCCCTCTCGGCTGAAAGAGCGAGTATGTTCGGGACGGAATTACAGCTCATGACTCTCAGATTACGAGTTGAATGCTCTAATTATCAGGCTTCGAAAAATGGTACATAAGAAGAATAATAGTTTTAATATTTTATAAACATACACATAAACCCACAACTATGCAGGAAGCAGAAATGAATCTACAAGATGTTTAACACTGTTTGCGATGCTGCTATGTATCTCTGTTTGTCCCTCCCCATTTTTTTTAACTCAATACTACCGTGAAATATTTCACAAAATTAAATCAAATTTGCCAGAAATCCGTAATATAAATGAATAAATAAAAACATATAGAAAGAATCAAAAACAATATGTAAAGATTTTGTTCGTTTTGTTGAACTTCGCAGAAAGCTACTCAAGGGCTATCTGCGCTTCCCGTCCCTAGTTTACACGTGATAGACTAGAGGGAAGGCAATTAGTCAACACCACCCACCGCCAACTCTTGAACTACTCTTTATAAACGAATAATGAGATTTACCTCCACATTATAACGCTCCCAAGGTTGAAATGGCATGTCAGTAACTAGTGTCGATCATGCCTGACCCAAATGTAAAGATAAATGGTTTTATTCTGCTTTTCCATTTTATGGCATTTTTAGTAAGCCACTTTGCAACATACCTGATAACTTTTATTCTGGAATGGAGAATGTCTAAAGAATCTAACGATTCAATTCGTCTGTGGAAATGTGCTGAAGTCAATCTAAGTCACTGTTCCCAACAGTCCATCAAGTTACTCGCGGTTTTAAATAGTCGAAACTTGGATATCTTGAATGCATGGCTGATGTCTGAGCTTTTGTTTCTCAATGTTGCCAGGCTTAACTTTGTCAGTGAATATTTTCATGGCAACTACTACACTTCCAATGCTGTCGAGGAGATCAATCCGGAAAGCTTTGGAAACTGGTTTAATCTTTCACCAATCCTTACAAGGAACCCCACGCTTACTTAAATTGTCTACTGCATTTAGGGAGGTCGTTAGTTTTAGATTACTTTTTAAAGTATATTTCTTTCTTTTTTTTGCTATAAGTTTCATTGGTATCTTTATTTTATCAATTATTTTCTTTAATAGATATCGTATTTTGAATTAAAATTAAGGCCAAGGTTCCAGATTATATATCTCGATCTTCTGATATCTCGAGTAAATTCTTAGTCCCTGGAACTTTAACATGGATATGAGAAAAGGAAAAAAATGCTGATTTCCTTGGATTTTCTAACTTTTTGTTTTAGTGAACGACTGGGTCAGTTCACAGTTTTCCAGTTTCATCTATTGCTATCATCGTCAAACAAAACACTTTCTGGGTATTATAGTTGATGATTTTGACACTGGATTATTTTGGATCACCCAGTTTGCTATGGACCACCCTACAAACTTTGAATAAAAAAGCAAAACAAAAGCAGGGCGATAATATTTAAAGGTAGCGCAAGATAGGGTGAAAAATTGAGCATTTTGTAACCAATACCAACATTTTTTCAGTATTCAATAACAATAACAGTATGCCTTATTCATCAGAAATCCAACGTTCAGCGCAATCGGCTAAGAGTACTGATACCCCTTTGATTTATCTGGAAAATACTTTTTCAAAAAACCCTTCTTGATTAGATGCAGAATAACAACATTGACTGATATATTTTCAAAATGTGCAAGTCTTATAATTATATATATTTCCATTGTGACAACTGTTACCGGAACAATTAGACATACAGCTCATATTTAATTTGAATAACTATCTACATATGAAAGAGTCGTGCAATTAAAATAAAACAAAACCAATACCTAGACCTATGTTTCACTGTCTCTGTACTTCAAAGTTCAAATGTAACTAGTTCTTTCCTGGTTATAGTAAAATTGTACTCTCAAACTGTCGACTTTTTACATACCACTAACTACCGGTTAAGTCTCCATGGTACATTGCGTTGCGTAATGCTAATAGGCAGTAGGAGTATGAAGTATTTAAGGTTATTTAGTTTCTTGGAATTTTTGTCATGAAGTGAAGTACCGGAGAAAATACTGTTACGACAGCGGAAGTCACGTGACCCTAGTAACTCGTCATAAGATTCTAGAAGGATTATGTCTGTACCTGGCAACTCTAGGCTTTTCTACACGCCCTCTATTTTTGTATATATAAGCCCGACAAATAAAGCGGGGAAGAGGTGATGGCATAGATAAGGGCAGATAGGGAGACATAATCGAGTCGAGTGAGCGGTAGTGACCGTAAGTAAAGTGCGTGAATCGTTGTGAATTATAGCGTGTGTTTAAATTAAAATGACTGTGGAAATTCTGATAATATTCTGGTTAATCAACTAGGTACCAATTATGGATTGTAATATTCTGATAAACTGACTAGTTAACAATTATGGAATATAATATTCTGGTTAATCAACTAGGTTCCAATTATGGAATGTAATATTCTGATAAACTGACTAGTTAACAATTATGGAATATAATATTCTGGTTAATCAACTAGGTACCAATTACGGAATGTAATATTCTGATAAACTGACTAGTTAACAATTCTGGAATATAATATTCTGGTTAATCAACTAGGTACCAATTATGGAATATAATATTCTGATAAAAAAAAGACCAGTGAGCAGCAATCATGACATGTAATATTCTGATAAAATGACTTGTTAGTAACTGTGGAATGTAATATTCTGTTTTTAAAAAAAAAGACTATTAGGTAGCAATCATAGAATATAATATTCTGATAAAATGACTAGGTAACAATTCTAGAATGTAATATCCTGATAAAATGATCAGGTAGCAATTATAGAATATAATATTCTGAGTTCATATAAAAAAAGAAGACTGTACTTACTCGCATAAAAGATTTTTGGTGTTAAGTGTTAACTAAAAACTAAATAACAGTAGATGATGGTTTCTCACCTGAGATTTTACTTCCCACATATGAGATAGATCTCACTTATCCCTATCACCTTGTGGCTAAATCTTTATGGTATTGTTACGTCTCTGGTCGTTTGTTAATTTCCCGTAAAAATTCTTTCCCAAGAACTTCAGCGATACAAGTCCTTTCTTAAATAAAACTAATTTATTCTTTCTCAACACAACTTTGCAATACAATTCCATAATTGGTACCTAGTTGATTAACCAGAATATTATATTCCATAATTGTTAACTAGTCAGTTTATCAGAATATTACATTCCGTAATTGCTACAAACCCAGTTGCTGTGAAATGTTCTTAGAACTATAGAATTGTAACAATAACTTATTTAGAATTGTTAGAATGGGACCAAAAGGTCTTGTGACTATTGTCACAGTTGCCACAAAGACCATGCCTAGAATATAAAAATGTTTTGTGATTATTGTTACAATTTCCAAAGAAGTTATATTTAGGACTAGGAATTGAATATTTTAATAAAAGCCATTTCTAGATCTAGGAGTGTGACAATATGTTACATGACTTTTCATACAGTTGCTTTGAGTTTTTGTTTAGAATTATAGAAACATGGTGTTTTCTGTCACGAAATTTACAAGAACTGTATTTTGTGCAGTGCTACTTGATATTAAGATATTATTACCAAGTGATAACTGAGTTAGCATGATCTTCTTGCATAATCTTGAGTTCACTTTAGTATAAAAAGAATCAGTCAAGAACAAGTTATGGAAGGATCTTGGTGTTCTAGTTGATAAGTCTTTTAAACCACCAAACATGATCTGTCTGTCTTTGTAATCTTGAGTTCACTTTAGTGTAAAAAAAAACACAAGTTGCCTTTCCCTTTCCAGGATACTAAATAGAAAATACTCAAAGTCTGTATGATAAATAATATGATATTGTTGAACAACCTACCTTATGTCGTAAGTGAGGTGAAGATGTAGGGCTAGTCTGTGTTGACACGCATATGCCTTGAGATTTAGTAGGTCGAGGAAGTTCTTCCTGTATCTAAGTATAAAAAAATTCAAAAATTGTTATAATTAGTTTCAGTATAACCAAAGTTTAAGTTTAAATGATATAATAAAAATTAAATAGAGAAACCTATTTGGTGGTCATTTAGAAGTATCCAAATGTGTTAAAAGTAACGTATCGTAATCTGAGTTATTGATAAGTACATAATAAGCTTTAACATATCACATGTTTACATAGAAAAAATTTATTTGCAAAGGTTTACATAGATTACTAGTGTTTATTTATTTACAATAGTTTGTTTGAGTTATAAGTATTTTATCCGTAACATAAAATTACACTCATAACTTATGTAAAGGATAAAAACATTTTCAACACTTACCTACACAACAGAGAACAAAAGTTAGCTATTAGTAACCCAGGCAAATTCTTCACATATAGTCTTTGATTTCTAAGTCACATAATTTTATTTGATGTACTTGTTTTTCTGCTACAATAATTATTTGACAAAAAAGTATTGTTTTCTTATGAAGAAATATTCTTAAAGAAACCTGTAAAGATGCTAGAGATAACATCATACATAATTCATTTTCAATCAGTTACTTAAAAGTATATTTGGTTAAGAATTTGAATTTCTCTATTCAACTGAATCTGGTGAGGATAAAAATAAATCAACCACAATAATGAAAATTAATTTTAACAAACAAAGTAATACTTACAAATCCTTTTACAGCAGTCTGCGTCCCAACTGACTCTTTCTTAACTCCACTCTTTTCTTCATCCAGTACTTCTGTGTTGTTCTTAAGGGTCTAAATAAATAAGCCACAGCCTATTTAAAATATATTTAAAAGTAAACTGTTATGGTGTGAAAACCTTTCTAAGCTCACAAAGCATGATTATAATTAGTAATATTTATTATAAGACATTGGTATTAGGCTTACTATATTTTTGACACTACATTCTTTATTCAGTCCCTTAGGGTTTTTTCAAGAAGAAGAGTGAAGTAGTATTTCAATTACTTGAATGTAATCAATTAATGAGCCTCATGATTAATCAATTAGCAAATTCTACTCATTGCCCAGCTCCACTTATAGCTCACAATATCTAAAAAGTAATTACATTCTTTATTCAGATCCTTATGGTTTTTCATGAAGAAAAAGTGCACACAGTAGTATTTCAACTACACAGTATTAAATAAAAGAGAATCCTAAATAGCTGCAGTTGTAATTAGATCTCAAATTGGTCAAGAGTTGGAGCTATGAGCTAAAAGTTTGTACTTGAAAAAAACTGAGAGCCATTCTATGAGTTCCTATGCTAAGCCTAATAACACTATCTTATGACATATATAATTAATTATATTTGAGCTCAGCTGACAATAGTCACAGTGAAAAGGTTTTCCAAGAAAGCAGCATGCACAGTTAATATTATTAATGATGATAAAATTTCCATGAATTACATCAATGATCAGAGCACCAATGGAAACTTCTTGAGAAACTGTCTTGTTTTACATGTGCTGTTCTGAAACCACTTTGTTGTTGAGAATGTATAATCAATTTTTTAAAAAATAAGCATGCACCTGTGCCTTTAATACTAGTAGTTTTTGTTTTTTACAAAACTTTTATTATTATAAAATACATTTGATCCAATAAAATAACTGTATCTAGAATCACACATATTTAAAGATTTCTTTTAAATATTTTATATCTTTGATGAGTCAAATAATTTTATAGAAGTAGTATTTACCTTGGTTTGGTGCTTAAGGTAATCTTATAAATATATTGTCTTTACAACCTTTAAAATTTGTTCTTCTTAAAATTCTTAACATATATTAATACATCTTCCAAAATTTTATTTTGAATTAGTTTCTTATGGAATTTGATAATACATTCAATATTATGGGATATTAATAAAATAAACACTACTTAATGTTAAGAAGGAAGCTATTAAAACAGTATGAAGAATTAGTCCTACTAGTTGTATATCTAAATTAATAAAGTTAATACATCTACTGTGTTAGACTATCCTACTATCATGTAGTCACTGACAGACAAGGTCAAAGAAATACTTCAATGATTTAATAACACTACTCGTCAAAAAAACAAACAATACTTTTTCATTTTCACAAAAATTAAAACTAAGTTAGTTCATTTTTGTTTGAAATGCTCTACATGCATCTATAACTGCAATATACACACAGATATTATGTATACACAAAACACTACCATGGATGCTACCTGGAGCTTGGCCAGAGGAATGATGTCACAGTTCTCTGGTCTGTGCCACACTGTTTTTTGGTTTGAAGCATTGTAGTAATAAAACCTAGAGGTTTTCTGATCAAATAATTCCCACCACTGGTTATCATCTGTTTTTTTACTGCAAAAAATGTATTAGGAATTAGCAATATTACTACAAAAAAGCCTTAAAAACAACCACAATGAGTTTAGGGGAGTTGTTGCTCTTCAACTACTTGGTTATTTTAAATTATTGAGTCAAGCAAATTATTATATGAGCAAAATTTATAATTAGTTGGATGAATTGTGCAAAAATAAATTACTAGATGGTGGATTATCCAAGAGCATCTACTGCATTGATAAATTGCACAAAAAATAATCAGTCAATCAAAATTAGTATTTCCAACCAACACTGTTTTTGATTAGTTCAACTATCCAAGAAATCAAATATTGCAATTATGCATTTTGTTAAATTTCTCATTAATTCAATGTTGTTCAGCTTAATTGATTAATGTCATGGCTCATGAAACTAATCAACTAATTGCAATTAGTGTTTCCAATTATTACTATTTCAATTATTTCAACTATCCAAATCTCATATGAGAATAACCAATTAGTTGAATGTATTTGATTAATGAGTTTGACAGTTAGTTGATTAGCAAATTTCACTAATCACCAGTTCTATTTATAACTCACAGTATCCAAATAACAACAACATATAATGATATATCATCATTTATTGGGCATACAACAACAAATACCAAAAACAACTATGAAACAATTGCCAAAATTTACCTAATAAACATTACCTATTACCTGGGTCCATGTATCCATTGCTGGAGCAATGGTATCATTAACCATAAGTCAAATTTCAATTATTTCCTGTCAAACTTCACTCAGAGAACAGTGATATTCAATGTTTGTCAAGATTCACTGGTTGACCAATAACCTTCATTCACTTTATATGAAAGTTCAATTGTTGTTCAGTGTATAAAAATGTATTATCAGTGATAAATTCTTATCATGTGGTTAAATATGAAATATGTGGAAAGTCATGAGGTAATCTTTTCAAGTTCCTATAGATCTAGGCACTACTTGTACAAGCAGAGTTTTAAACATTCCAAATGATATTCCTATGGTTATTAACATCACTTCCACCAAAATTATTACAAAGTTCTACAGATATTATGAAGTTTTAAGTATTTAACAATATTGCATGTTTTAAAGAATTTTACTGTTGTTACTGATTATCTCCACACTTATGGTAGAGTTTGAAAACTCTGACATGTAAATGCTAGTCAATGAAACACTTGTTTCTAAAATTACAAATGCTAAAATTATGTTACTACTTTCCAAAGAACTTCGACTCTGAGAAAATGATTTTGAGTCATTAGAGCGTCCCAAGTCCAGGGAAGGCTGGTAATACCAAAAAATCTGACAGGACTGGTCACCAGTTGGCTGATTCTCTTCTTGTTTTTCTCCATTGAAAAGCTGAGTTGAACAAGGAGGGTGGCGAGGAGAGGAAGGACTTGGAGTGTATTTGTGATGGTGGTGACGTTTGTGATGCAGCTACAAGTATTCCAAAACTACACTTCACCATATTTCCCTAAATTATATGTCATAATACATCTACAATAAAATATAAAACAGTCTAAAAAATGCCTAATATCAAGTCCATTTCAAATAGAGAAAATATTCACGGAAATTATACATAATCTAATATTTTATCCAAACTATCACTCCCAATATTTTAAACACAATTTTACTCTTGTTACCTTTCTACACAATTAAAACAGAAACACAAATTTACAGCATATTTTTCATTTTATGTTTAACCCTACTCTATGTTTTAGTGATATGTTTTTCCTCCTATTCAGCTCCTTTATGTAGTTTACAACTTAACATGTCCTCATAGTGAGTATGGTTATATGCAATCCCTATTTTAATATCCATATAAAACAGCATTTAAAGATTGACATTGGAAATCATTCTAGTACTCACATCTATTCTCATTTCTTCAACAGCTGTTATGGAGAACCTAACAGTAATAATTTCTTGAAATATGTCTGATCCTTCAAGTAGAAGAGATTGAAGAGTGAAATAAATTTTTCTTGTTCATTGTCTGAAATCTCAACTTGAAGTAAACCACTAAGCAGCACTTTAAAAGTGAAAAATGTAAAATATATATTTTTTATTTGTTGTTCCTTTGGTTTATTTATATGTAGCAGCATGTGAAGAGACAACTGGTTAGAACCAGTTGCTTGAAGCACATGCTTCTACATATTTATCTTTCATATTGTGTGTTACTCAATCTAAAATTAAACCTTTTTTTTTACCATTTCTCATGTAGAAACAAAAAATGTCTTTGAATAATTTAGTTATGTTGATGAAAGATTAAATCTTTGTTTGGAATGGGATCCAAAATCCCTAAAAAGATATGATCAACATTCTATAAGAAATTTAAATTGGTACTCAAGACTTTATACTGTTTTAAGCTATATTCTAGATATTTTCATTTAAATGTTTGTTTTCTAGAGGGAGCAGTAATGACATCATGATGATGTAAGATCTAGATATTCATTAAATTTTAAAGCCTCAGTAGAATATGAAAGTTTCCTGTATTATATAGAATACTAGATTGTTTGTAAACACCAGACTTCATGAATTGGACAGTTAGAGTTATTACATCTGCTTGTCTGCAATTCAGTTAGTCATTGACTTAGTTAGCATATCTTTTATTGATCGATTAGAAAGGTAATTCTGTTAGCAAGTTTATAAGTAAGTTAGGTATACATTAGTACCAAATATCTTGACATCAGCAAAAAAACAGTCATAAATAGACAACTATGCCACTACTATCTCAAATGTTATTGTCAACACAATAGATGCAATTGTTCCAAAGCCAGCTGTAAACAAGCATCCTAACTCTTGGCAACTAACAAAAGAAATTCACAATATAATTCACAAAAGATGTAGTTACATACTGTTCATTAGCACAAATGACCCATAAATAAAATAAAATGTAAACAGCATCATTAAACAAACCCGCATTCTCATCAAAAATAAAAAAATAACTTGGCTAACTACTGTGCATCCATAGATAACTCTCACTAAAACCCAGCCCTCTTCTGGAGGAAACTTAAAGCAATATGCAGTGAACAATCTAATGGAGGTATACCAAACTTAGAATACAATAATGAAACAGCAATCTCTGACCAAGAGATAAAGCAAACCTGCTGGCTAATTATTACCAATAAGTTTTTCAGACTCCTAATTCCCCACACTTTGATAACTAACACTTCAACAGTGTTGAGTAATACATTAGTTAAAACCAAGAACTATTTAAGCCAAAATTCCATAATAAATCACATCTTAAATCTCTCAACTGACACAGAGCTCTTCACAAAACCTATAATGCCAATAGAAATCAAAAGATTAGTTAAAAATGTTATACATACCTTACTCAAGAAGATGGAATCAAAAACATTATACTGAAAAATGCATCAGACACTTTACTACTACATCTAACAGTCCTCTTTTATCTTTCCCTCAATTTTGGATACTACCCTGACCAATAGAAATCTACGACAATAAAAGTTTTACCCCAAAACAACCCCAGCCCCTAAGGACCCTAAAAACTATAGACCAATAAGATTACTTAACAATATTGAAAAACTCTTAGAATAAGTGGTTAAACTCAATTATTGTGGTATTTAAAAAAGAACAAACTTTTGTCCAAAATACAAAATACTTCACATAAAAACAGACAAACAGCTGATCATTTATTCAGATTAACAGAATCAATAATTCAAGGATTTAACAAAAACACACCTAATCTTAGATGTCAAGCAGGCATCTGACTCAGTTTGGCACCAAGGCCTAAGATACAAGTTATTTCAGTTTCCAACCCATAATCACAAGATGGATTTCAAGTTTCTTATCAAACAGAACAGCCAAAATTAAAATCAACAATGCAATATCTAACCCAGTTAAACTGTCAGAAGGAGTACCTCAAGGTTCAGTACTTAGTTAACTTTTGTAAATCCTATTTGTAAACCTGGCCTAACCAACTGGCCATGCCGGGCTCCCACAAGAGTATCAACAACTCCACGTGCCAAAACATCTCCACATGCTTCGTCTCCTCATCTCTCCTACTTGTTGTTTTCAGTCTGTGGCTGGATTTCAATTCACAGCTTTTTCCCAATGTCTCAAGGCATCACGTCACGTAGCAAGTTATAACCTACATTAAGTAAAAATATCCCCAACGAAGCCCAAGACAATTTTTTTTCCTGCTTCTCAAAAGTCCCTATCCATTGGCCACAAAGTGAGGTGAAGAAAATTAGTTGTTTCTGACTGCCCCTGGTTATCTTTCACACACCCTTCAGGGCTTGAAAATAATTACCACAGATTGGACAGATGGATTAGTTTCAGTGTTTATGTTGAAAAGTTTGTTTGTGAAGTTAGGCCTGTAAGTGAATATAACTGTAACAAATGTTACTGAAGAAATAAATGAATTTGTTACTGTTACCTAGACTTAACTTCACATTACATTTACCAAATAATCCAAAAAACCACCAAATATTAGGGTACATTACAACAATACTTATACAAGTTTGGCAACAAAAAAGAACAATCTAAAATGGCTTTAAACCCTCCATCACGTCAACCACTCTACTTTAAAGGTAATTCTAATGTTATGAACGGCTAAAATGAGACCCAGAGAGTTTGATCAATATCTCTAAGGGTATAAACTCACATACAAAAATGCACATACATAAACATACAACCACAACCATTTCATCTTTTCATGTTTTATCTATTTCCTAACAGTATGCCTGACCTTAAACAGTTCCTAGCTAAATGAGGAGGAGATTATTACAAATAAATGGTCACATGCCTATCAAAAATAATTTAAATTCAAAAGGAATTAAAAATTAAAGAGGTGGCGCATGCCTCTGTTGGTTTATGTACACATTTTGTATCCAAAAATAATAATTCCTATACAGTTTTGAGAAATTATTTTGAAAGTGTAAAAAGAGTAGGTTATGTAAAATAACCACACACCTATAAGAAGATGTAGAATATCAGATAAGAATAAGTCACGTAAACTCAGGAGTTAAACTTCTCTATAGAATATGCATATGACAGCAATTTTCATGAAGTTTATGGAAATTGGACTGAAAAATGTCTTACATCACTGTTAGGGAAAGTCATTTAACAAAGTTTGGAATTTAGTTGGATAGTCTATATGATTTCATTAGAGGAAAATCTTTTGAAAATCTTCGAAGAGGTTACTGCTTATTTAGATGACACTTTTAGCTGTGGATTTGGTGTATCTGGATTTTCAGAAAGCATTTGACAAGGTATCACATAAAAGTGTTCTTACAAAAATGTATCTTTGTAGATGTGAAGAATAAGTTGGCTCATTGAAAAGAAAACTGGCTGGATGGAAGAAAGCAGAAGGATGTAATAAATGGAGTTCATTCAAACTGGATTAATGTCACAAGTGAATACCTCAGAGCTCAGTGTTAGGACCTTTGCTCTTTTTTATTTACATTAATAATATAAAGGAATGGTTAATAAATTATTTAAATTTACTGATGGCATTAAGCTTTTGGGTATTGCTGACTGATAGGAGGATGCTGCAGCTTTACAAAAGGATTTGGATTATTTGTTGAGTTAGGCAAATAAATAGAGGATGGATTTTATCTATAATAAATGCAAGGTAAAGCATGTGAGATATCAAAATTTGAGTTATGAGTACAATTTTGATGTGAATAATCTTAAATGTGTTATGTGCAAAAGGATCTTGGTATTCCAGTTTATCAGTCTCTTAAGCAATCCAAGCAATGTACAGTTGCTGGTGGCAGAGCAAACAAGATTTCAGGATGTATCTACAGAAATACTCAATACAAGTCTAAATAACTTTCATTATATAGGTCACTGGTTAGACCATATTTGGAGTATTGTGCTCAGTCTTGAGAAGGACATCAAACTGTTGAAAAAGTCTCTGAAGAAGGCTACTATGATGAAATCTGAACTGGCAAAGATGTCAAATAAGGACAGTTTAATATCCCTGATATTGTCTTCTCTTGAAAAAAAAGTATAGTTAGAAGGGATCTGGTTGAGGTGTTTAAGATCATTAAAAGAATTCACAGTTTTGACACATCATCATTTTTTGTAACTAATGGTGAGAATGGTAGTACTATGGGACACAAATATGATATTTTGGTAGGATAGGAGTCATCTTCAGCTAAGACAACTTTATTTTTCTAACAGGTTGGTCGGCCTTTGAAATGGTTTGCCTTAAGATCTGGTGAGTGCAGTTAATTTAAGAGAAGGCTTTATAAATATTTGAATAACTAATACTGGCTTTAAGTGTCTTATTTTCACTTTAAAGTTTAATTTAGTAGATGAAACAGCTTAGATAAACAAACAGGTCTCCTACTGTCCTTAAATTATATATATATACACATGTGTGTGTGTGTTTATGCTATTAATAGGTATGTTGATGCTTTAAGAGTGGGAAGTTGATTGGGTATGGTGTTTTACTAGTCAAATAGTTGTTAGTAACAATAATATATTATAAAAATCATTGGAGCAGAGATAATCATTTTTTGCACTAATTCTTATGACTTGTTTTTTAAAAGGAAAGAAGATTATCCAGCCAATATTGGTTCATCTCACCTAAGAGTTTTAGATGACTCCTCTCAACCAATATCTAGACATTATTCCAGCATAAATTATTCTCGACAAGCTTCTCTAAACTTAGAACGTCCAAAATCTCTAGGTTCATGGAAACACACCATTATAGACTCTTCCTCTGTGGGAGAAAAGGGTGCAACCTATAGTAAGATTTCTAAAGACAATGGAAGTTGTCAGTCAGGAAGATCATGGCAGTTGGAACATCCTCATCATCAACTAGACAGTGACAAGATACCAACCAGCCAGAGGGAGGATGCCATGCTTCCTATTTATTCAGATTCTGAAAAGTTTTCTAAACAATTATCCCAGAGTTCAGATAATACCAACCTTTCATTGAATGATATTGGTCAAATCATTACCAAAGAAGCAAGTGTAGAAACATTCAAAGTGAAACAAAACTCTCCAGATAGTTCCACAATTTCTGCAGATTATTCAGTCCAAGTTCCTGATTCTAGTAAAGATCATGCTCAAGTCTTAATGTCAACAAAATGGACAACCCAAGACACACAAGATCCTCCAAGCATTTCTTCTAAAAAAGATGAAGAGGATGATGTTTCACTAGAATCTTATTTTCATAGTTCCTTTCTAAACAGATCTCAACAAGCCAAAAAAAAAAATTTCCATAATGAACCAACACCTTTGTATAACAATTTCGATTACTCTGGTCTGTGGAATGACAAACACTCCTATTTGTTACCATTACAGAACTATCTGTTGGAACAAGCCAAGCTATCTGGTTAGTTACTTGTTTATAGCTTTTTTAATTTTAAACATCAAAATCAGTGTTCAAAATGTACAGAAACTTAGATAACTGAAGAGTTACTTTCAAACTAAATTACAACTCATGCTAATTTCCATCAAACATGTTCTCCTATTTGTTAATTATGTAAATAGAGCTTATGAGATTTCAATTGTTCAGTGCTTAATGCCACTCTGAGTTTAAGCTAGTAGATATTTTTTTTTAATTAGTAAGTTGTGCAAATTACAACACTTTAGCATTATACTTATTGAATTGTTACCAAGAAAATTGATTTTTTAACTAAGAAAAAAAAATATTTGGTTACCTCAGTGGTCCTTTATATATTTGACTTTTGTTAGTGGTTCTACCTTCGTAGTTTCTTGTATTATCTAGATCTTTACCCAGCTCTCGTAACATTCTTGAGCAACAATCATCATAATTATCAAGAGCATTTTCACTTCTACTCCTTTGTTGGAAGCTTTTCTCCTTTCTCCATTAAGTTAAATTCTTTATACCTATGCACTTTACCTTTGTAAGGTTTCTTACATCACCCACAAGTGACAGCAGTGTTTAATCTCACTAGGTTTTACTCTTAACAGTTTTTTCACAGTTATTTAGGTTACACAGATTCTCTAATTTTCACTGTTTGTGAACCCTCAGAAAGTTATATGCTTGAAAGTGCTTGTTCTTCAGGCAGAAGATACTACATAAACTTAGTGATAATGAGATAAGCTTTTCCTTTGAAAAAATAATTCTTATCTCAACACCTTTTTTTTTTTGAACAACCTTATCCCTATCCAGAATTCTCACTGAAGTTAAATTGTATCTTAATATAAAAATCTTACCTCTGTTTGTTGATTGGCTGGTGAAACTTTCATTGGAGTATTCATGTTGCATTTTTATTTGATATAAGACATTTATAGCTGTAGATAATCATAAAACAAATTAGAATAATATTTTTTATTAGTAATGGCATAACTCTGAAAAAAAATTTTTCTTCAGGGTACAAGATTGGGGATCTTTTTGCTGATGACAAAGATTCTTTGTCTCTGAGTGATGAATCAGAAGGTCGATTGGATGTTGATGATGATGACTTTGCTGATGATGAGGGAATGAGCCATCAAGATTCTTCATCTCAAGAATATCTGGATGAGACAAGGTTTATAGATGATGACAGTGACACTTTTTGTGGACCCCTCACCCCACCATCTCATTCAAGGAAAAAACCTAGCCATAAATTAATAGGTAAGAAAAAATGAGTATTGTTTAACTTGTTGTATTAGTTTATTTCTTCTTTTTTTGCATTGTACACTTTTTAAGATTAAATACAACAGTAAATCAAAACTTGAATGAAGTCCATAGAGATAAAAAGAAATTTTTATATATGCACAAACTTTTGTATGGTTGTTTATACTTTCTGATAAATTGCTTAACTTGTTTGTTTATCCAGACCAGAAGTTAGAATTGGATTCTGGTGAAAGTGACAATACCAGTATCCTCTCAAAATCATCCCCAGTGTTAAAACATCATAGTGGACCTGTGCCACCATCTTTCTTGGCATTGACCACACAGCATAATTCTCTTCGCCACAAACAAACAGATTCCTCTCTGTTGTACTCTCCAATACTTGAGAAATCTCAGGTATCATTTTGATTTTTTAATCAGATGTTTTAGTAATTTGTTTGATCTTTAATGTGCTGTAAAAAATATTCCTTTTTTTGTTGATATTTGGTGATTTAAGAAATTGTTTTTTACTTCTCTTGTATTTTTGTGTATTATGAACATTTGGCTGTACAACAGCAATAGATAACATTAACTCAGAGGAGTAATTGATAATGTATATCTAAGAATGTTGTTTTTTATTTTTTGGGCCAAAATAAATTCAAACAGTGTCTGTAAAGTAAAACTTGTCAGATTGTAATGAAAGTATGTGAAAAATAATTCTCACCTATAAATTATTTTTGTTGTAGAAAGTTTTTCAAATGTTTAGAATAAGGAAAAGAAGCAACCGAATCCTAGTGAAATAATATACAGTAGATTGTATGTTTTATAATATTGACTAGTAGAGAACTGCAAAACATTTGCAGTCAAATTATTATCTCTATTGCAACAGTACTTTTTTAAATACACAACTTCTAAAATAATAAAATGAATTCTAGTCACAGACACCGAAATCTATAAGTCCACTTGTCTTATGCCTAACATTAGTTATTATTTTTCCTGTGGTTATGAACCCTCTAAACATTAAAAAGAAAAGCATCTGTATGTTTACGTTTCCATGTTAAACATCACCTTACTTGTAGGTAACTATGTAAAAACGGTGTGCATATAGTTACTTGTGTAATTTTGTTTTTCTTTTGGGAGATATAACTGTCTGAAAATCTAAAAATGAAAGTTGACATTAGTATCAAGCTGGATTGGGATGGAATAAATAGCTCTTCAGTAGTTAATGATGATAACAATAATATGGATAAAAAAAATTGTGTGTATTGGATACAAAAAAAAAATAGTATAGTTAGCATTATGTTAAAAAGACAGTATTTCTGTTGCTGTTTTAGCTGATGACATGCTGCTATATGTCTGATGTGTATAAACAAACAAAAAAAAGTTTAATTTTTTAAAACAACTTACAGCCCATTAAGTAACATGTGGTACATAAGATGCACAGACAGCAGTGCTCACACAACCTTGTATCAAAACACTTGGATAATAATATTATGGTTGTTTTAAGTAATTAGTTCTCAAAACAGAAATCATGGATAATAATAAACTCTCATTTTCTATGCTGAAAAAATTAGTATTACACCTTTATTCCAGGTTTAAATTCTAACTTGGTAAAAGTCACAAAAGAGAAAAAAATATTTGATTGCTTCTTTGTTATCTCAACTGGTGAGATGATAGATTCAAAAAAATATAGAACACACACATGTTAGTCAGTATATTGTTGTTTTATTACCATATTTTGTTAGGTATTAAGCTTTGGACACTAGCGGTGCATAAAAATTATGGTTACCCAAATAGAAAAGAACACCCACATGTTAGTCAATATATTAGTACTTTGTTACCATATTTTGTTAGACATAATGCTTTGGTCACTAGCTGTGCATAATGATTAAGGTAGCCTAAAGGACAGTTATTACAGTCACATTAAGATAAAATAACATTTGCCAAGGTTAGTTGAGTTTTTGACTGTGTTATATTGCATGAAAGGTTAAAGACACTTAAAAGTTTTTGTTTTGAATTGCCAAACTTGTAAGGGATATAGATCTTAAGTCCTAGTTGTGCATAAAGCTTCAAAGCTAAATCTCAATGCTACAGAAGAGCTAAAGTTGTTTTTGTTTTGAATTGCCAAACTTGTAAGGGATACAGATCTTAAGTCCTAGTTGTGCATAAAGCTTCAAAGCTAAATCTCAATGCTACAGAAGAGCTAAAGTTGTTTTTGTTTTGCTTATTATGCTGCAAAAACTAATTAAACAAGTTACTGTAATGGAGGTGTCATTTTCTTTTTTTTTGTTTGTTTGTTTTGAATGATTGTTAGTATGAGTCTTGTAATTGAATATGTTAGTGATAATACTTATTATTGTTTAATTTTAGTATACAACCAATAAATTTAAAATTTATTTATGATGTTTAATGTTTAGTAAGTTGTTTCTATATGTCTGTTGTTTAATAAATGGTTAAATTAGTAGTTATGTCTGATACATCTTTAGCTAATTCTCATGCTTACTAATTAAAATAGGGAGACAAAAACACAGGTCTTATGGATGCTCTGTGTAGTCAAAATCTTGTTCTATCTACTTTACTACCTTACAAGAGAACTGAAAATAAGTGTTAAAAATATATTTTGTTTTGAGTAAACTTTCATAGTATTAACTTAATGGTCTTTGCTTCAGCTATATCACTAGCTATATGGGATATATACATAAAGATATTTTTCTCTGACCAAATGTATTTTTATTGTTTTTCTCATTAGCTTATTTGTAAGATTTTGGAGAATGTAAGTATATTGTTCAGAAAAGAACTGCATTACATAATTTTTGTAATTATGCTCCTCTTAAACTTGTGATATTTTTGTTTCATACAATACCCTTATTATATATTATATACAAGATACAACTAAATTAAACAACTGGGATTGTACTGATTTAATTTTCTATTGTTACAAGATACCACTAAGTCAAACAACTGGGATTGTACTGATTTAATGTTTTATTTAAACAACTGGGACTGTAATGATTTATTTTTCTATTGCTGCTATTACTCTCAGTCTTTTCAGCTGGACATGGGTCAAGGTACTAATCAGCGTCCATTATCCATGATGGTTTCTAGTATGACAGAATGCACTGTTCCAGAAAATACAATACCAGCATCTCTTCATAGAAAGGTAGATAGTAGGGAAAATGTATTTTTGACCCATATTTGGCTTTGATATATACATGATAAAATTTGCTACAAGTGCTGTATAAGACCCCAAAAGTGCCAAGGAATAGGTGATATAATTCTTTTTTGCTTTGAAACACAAATAATATTAAATATTTTGAAAAATAAATCATGATATTAATAAAAGGCATGAAAAATTTAATTGTATTTTTTACATCAAGAAATTTTAAATTGATTATAAGATATATTTTTGATTTACTAGAATGAAAATATATTTTAAAAGTCCAATTTGTATACTCTCTTCAGATAGAAACAATGTTAAAAGCTAAAGCACTGTCATTAGCCACTGAGGAAGACATCTGTCATGTTGCACGATTTAGCTTTGGAAAGAATTAAATCACTCAATAAAACATTTCTTCATGTTTATAGTAATACCAAGTATTTTTAAATCTGGACTAGCTATATGTGAACCTAAGACTGTAAATGGGTTTTTATAACACTATAATAATGATTATTGTTTGGCTAAACTGGTAATATTTGATGTGTATTAAGCTGGGAACATTTTCTTGATGATTTTCTTTGTTGATTTATGCATCTTTTATTAAGGTGCTTTTTAAAGTGTATCATTTTGTTCACATAACAGTATAGAGGTATAAAATCAACTTAATTGTATAAAGTTTCAGTCTTTGAAAATATAGATTTTGCTAATTTTTTAGTCTCTTGGAAATATTTTTAGTAACATCAATAAACCTCACTACAAAATTAATTTGAAACTGCTAGAATGAAGTTGGTGAGTTCCAGCAAAATGTAGACTCCTTGAAGAAGGTGTTTATAGACAAAGCAATATTACTACCTGTTTATCATCTTTACGACTTATAAAACAGTAATAATTATTCTTCAGGGCAATGGCAAGATGACCACTGGTTTTTACAGAGATAAAAAACCACCATCAGAGAGTGATATAGAGAAATATGCTCAGGACAACTTCAATATACACAAGAAGGGAATATTAAGAAAGAAATTTACAGTTCAGGATATGTTAACATGGTCAAAGGTTAGTAAACACTACACGTTTTATTCTAATTACATGTGGTTAATAGTTTTAATTTGTCTGAATTTTTTATGTTCACTCTGCAAACATAGCTCATAATTATTTAATTTTATAAGGTGTTCTTGTTAGTGATAATGTTGAAGTTTGAAGATAGTAATCTACTAAACTATACACCTGGAAAAAAGTTAAGCACCCCCAAATATTTTTCAGGATTGCTTATTGAAAATAAGGTTTAATTTTCATGATGTTGAGCAATGTTCATAATTTCAAACATAATTAAAAGG